AGGGCAGCCCTTCTGGGTTGCTGCAAACAGCAAAAGCAAAAGCAGAAGAGCGAGACACACCTTATTCCTGCCATTACATTATATTGTTGCTCCACCCCTACAAGGGTGGAGCACTCACATCGCCAATCCCAGCGCTAGACAACAAACCAATCACAAACAAATGCTAGATTTAGCCACATCCTATACAGGAGGCCTGGGGGCGGGAGTAAAGGAATATATAACCTGTAACTGCAGCCTGGGCATCTGATCCCTGCTGTGTTCTGCGATCATTTTCGTTGCCCCTTGCCTGCCCTCTGTCTCACCCGCTATCTGGTCCAGCACTGTTCAGCACCATAAGCCCACAACTGAATTCTGGCAGCTGCTTTTTCTCTCTGTCACAGTCTCTCATGCACTTGGAACATCCCACCTTGCAGAAAGTTACAAACATTTTTCTTTCTTTGCTGATGCCCTCTTCTCCTTGGCAATTCACTATACAAGTCTGGAGGTTGATGTCCTCTTACTTTTCTATATTTTTATTTCAGTGGGGTCTCAGGAAAATTATAAGGTCATCTCAAGTTAGGGGACAAAACCATCATATGATAAGCGTTTGACGGTCAAATCAGTTTGGCAAAGAACAATTAATTTACTTTTAAGATTTTTGTTTCTCAGAAACCATTAAATACCATGAGATGCTAAATTCCTAATGTTCTAGCTTCTAACTTTATTGGTAATAATATTTTAAATATAAAAGTAAATTATTGAGTAATGTAGAATGATTCTACATTGAGTAATGTAGAATCATTATTTTTTATTTTTAAAATTAGAACGAAGAGAAGGTAGGTCCCTGGACAGACAAACAGCAAGGATGCCTGTGACTTAAGTTTCCTGGAAATTGTACAGGAAGGAGTCTTGGGTTCTGGTCTCTGGGAGAGTCTTGCCTTTCTGCAGCCTTCAGTGATTCACTCAAACCTTGTAAGCACCATCATTTTCAGAGGACTTTCATTGCCCTCTGCTCCTTAACTCACATTCAGGATGTCGCCTTTTCTCTTGCCAAGATGGTTACTGCTTAGGGAAATCACCCCTGCTCACCTCCAGCTTTAGAAGCAGGCTTCAGCTACAGTGCAATTCAGAGATGGACAAGTATGCAAAAACAAGCCAGGAGGACCAGGGAAGACTTCCAGGGAAATCACCTGTCTTCCTCCCACTGTGTCTCTTGATGGATAAGCTATTTTCCCCCAGGCTCCAGTGTATGCAAAAGGAGAGATGCTCTGGAAAGGGTACAGCCCCTCTGTAGTCCTATAGGGCCAGACAGGAAGCTTGAACCGTGGAAAACAGAGAAGAGAAATGGATAAAATAACTAAGTTACTTTGAGCTATGAATCAAGGCTTCATTGAAGCTGGATCAACTATTCTGCCTCAGACACCCCAGGTACTGGGTGAATGCTTGCCATTAAGCAAACAAGCTTCTTTTACCTTCAAGTCAAACATCCCCAAAGTACACGAATTTCTAGTACAGATGAACCCCAAATCTCAAGTTTGTAATGGTGTGAAATGACAGGCATTCAGTAGCAGCTGTATCTTGAATTGTGATCTTTTTCCTGGGGCAGCGATATGTGATGCTGAGACCAGGAGACGCAAAGGTAAGTCTGAATGAACTGAGGACCATGCCCCAGATAAACTGAGAAGCCCTAGAAAACTGGAGCACAGGGAACCAAGGCCTAACTATAGGGCAAGGACAAAGGACTAATAAAATGTATTGGTGACAGACACTGTTCAGCAGCAATGGGACTGCTCACTTTGCACATGTGTCTGCCCCTTTTGCACAGAAGCACCTAGGTTTAGGCATTTCCTGGGGTTCTCCCTAAGCCCCTCATCTAGGGAGGACTTTCTGATAGAATTGGGGGGGGGGGCTGAAAAGATAAGTATGAAATATAAATGACCTTTATTTTAAGAATGTGGGGAGAGACCCCCCGACTCCCTGGGGCGTGGCATCCCCCCACCATCAGCGATCTCTCCGTGGGACGCGTGAACTGGAGGCATACATGTAGCTTAGGGATGCATAGGTGCCCATTGGTATTCTTTTGGCGCCATAGGTAAATTCCTAGGGGTGGGGGAGATAGGAGCTCCTTGGTTCCCCCTGAGGCTTTACCAGCTACAGTGTCCGGTCTGGGCCAAAACGCTTTCACTTTCTTCACTGTTTCTAATAAACTGCACCCTGTTCCACTACTGCGTTCCACTGGTCTCATTCTTCCACTGACCGCAGAGCAAGAGGGAGAGATGTGGCTTCTGTAGACACCCACTGCTACAGCTGCTGGTCAGCCCTGGATCACAGGTACACTTGAGCTACATTCTATAGGGTGCTACCGTGTTGCTAAACTGTGTTTGATAGGCCAGTGGGATTAAACACTTTTTGACTTCTGATATTTCCATATTACAGTGGCTTTATCTGGACATACCGTCATCATACAGGGAGGCACATCTGCATACACAATTTGGAAAAACCAAAGTGTCTATGGAAGGAAAATCCTTAGTTGGCACACACTTGGAATTTAAAACCAATTAATTCTTCTATTCATGTAGAAAGTGTTTCTAATTCCGGTTTTATAGGGGATCAATTCCCTCATTTGTTAAACTTCAGGGAGTTTTTCTCAGGTGTATTACTTAAGGAGAAAGAGATTTAAAAGAACATGACAAGTAAGAGCTACTGAGCTACTAGATTTTCTATTCAGCACACAGAAAATAATTCTAGAAAATTTATCAGAGTTCCATACTTCAAATTATTCAAATCACCAGTATACCTTTTAACTAAATTCTAGGCAAATTCTAGGTTTTGATCCTACAACACTGTTTGTACTTAGATTTTTCTTAGAATTTATCTCTAATCCAATCATTCAAAAATTTAGGTAAAAAATGATAATGGTTCAAAAACATCCGCTAAAATTAAAAATTCAGCCAGGTGCGGTGGAGCATCCCTATAACTCCAGCACTGCAGAGGCTGAGGTAGGAGGATTGCTGCAAGTTTGAGGCCAGCCTAGGCTACACAGTTAAGTGCAAGGCCACCCTGCCACTACATAGTAAGACCTCTTCTCAAAAACAACAACAACAAAATTAAGAATTTTAAAAAAGAATTAAAAATTCACTTATGGAGACTAATATCACCTTTTTTATAATCCCTGGGCAAATACTACTATGTGTTAGCTATAGCTACCTGTAATTGTAGTTACATTGGTACAATATATGAGAATGACCATTTTATAAACTGGCAGAAGTTTCTGAAGATAAAGTCACTAAGCAGAACTGACCCACATGCTGTGTTTGTGCCATGGTTGTAGTGTAGTTATTCCACACTAGTTTTATTTTAAATTGAAGATTAATGTGATGCTTTCATTTCTGAGCGAGAGAGCTGCTCCTTGGCCAGGTCACGCTGAGCAATGGCTGGGAACTTCTGGGCACTATTCACCAGCTCCTGCTGAAATTAAGATAAGCCAGCAGAAGAAACAGCAATGTATTGATCTTAATGTTTTAAAAGCCTAAACACTTAAAATCAAGAAATGATAGCTTGGCCAGGGTTTGAATTCCACTTGGGAGGAATAAAACGTTCACTTTTTTCTCTGTGGCTACCACCCATTTCCTCTTGCCTGCAGACAGAATCAGGTAGAAAAGGGAAAAGAGAAAGCCGCCCTGAGGAAACTCAATGACGACAAATTGAACATTAAATGCACAACAGGAAGCGAGCCTTCTCAACCCTTCCACTGCGTCTTTCAAGCCCTATTTCTGAAAATAGAAAATCCTAAGCTCCATTTGAGTGTCACGATAAACCCTTCTCTGTGCCAGATGATGCTATCCACATATTTACATCCCAAGTACAAACAACTTAAAATGTTTACACGGAGTGGTAATGGAAGGCATGTGTCAAATACAATGGGAGAGGAAGAATAAAGCTTTCTTCCGAGGCGAAGCTTGAAGATACACAATATCTGTGGAAAATCTGGCTTACAAATGAAAATACACTGTTTACCTATTCCCTTTAATTACCGAGAACGCGCATTTCACCCTCTCCGCAGGCAGTCTCGCTCTGCCTCTGCTGCAGGGCGGCCCCACGCACCCCACGCCCGCAGCAGCCCCGTGACGCCCGCCTGCGCCCCCGGCAGAGCGGGTAAGGACGCAGCCCGGAAACAGCGCCCTCCAGGGGACCAGCGCGCCACCGCACCGGCCGGGGGGGAGCCCCCAGACCGGGAAGCCCGGGCAGGCCGGCTCCCCACGGCGCCCCCAGCCCTTCCCACGGGTCGGCCGCCACCCGCCGGGCTCAGCCTCCAGGCCGTGCGCACGGCGGCACGTGCAGGCCGAGACGCAGAGCCCGGGGCTCCGGCTGCGGCACGGGGCTCCCTCCCACTGCCCAGACCCAGAGGCCCCTTCTGGAAACCTTCGTCCTGCTGACCCCACCGACCGCAAGGGCTCCAATCAGAAAGGCTGGCATAGGCGAGAAGTAGCGGGGGAAACTAAACCTGGAGCTGCCCATCTAGGATCCCAGGACTCTGGGAGGCCAAGGCAGGAGGCCAGCCAGCGTGAACTAGGCCTAGAAAACTTAGCTGCTGTCTCAAAAATAAAAGACATTCAAACAGTCTGGGGATATGGCCTAGTGCAAACGCGCAGGTTCCACTGGAAAACAAACAATAACAACAAACCTGGACAGACCATCTGGACCTCATATCTATCTTTTATCTTAAATTTTCACTTCCCTAGTGCATAAACCAATTTTAAACAGAACCTAAAAAGTTAAGCCAATCATTCAGCAACATACTGATAATTTACACTATTTCAATTAGGGATTAATTGTGGCACTCGGGAGGCTGAGTCAGGAGGAAGGATTGCCACGAGTTTGAAGCCAGCCTGCACTCATAGCAAGGCCCTGTCTAAAAAAATTATCTTTGGCTGTTTATTTGTATAACACTCATGTCTTGAGAATAAAATAGTAAAGTATCATTTAAGTCACATCATAGTAAGTGAATAAACATATCTTACCTGTAAATACATTTCTAAACCTTGCCGCCGTTGTTCCAATACTTTTGGGACCCAGTTCCTGACATGCTTAGAAGGGATTTCTGGAGTTTTTATACATTTCTTAAGCTATAAATACACAAATAGAAAAAAAAAAGAGATGTCTGTTAATTATAATAGGGTTATTTCTAGGAAAAAGCCAAAAAGAAAAGAAACCACTGCTATTTCTAATTTAAAAAAATATATATATAAAAATTTTGTCAAAAAATTCTTTACTTAGATCCTCACTGTTCAGGTTTCAGAAAAAGGGTTTTGTCTTTTTGAGACAGGGTCTCACTCTGCAGTTCAGCTGGCCTTGAGTTCACTTTATAGCCTAGGCTGGTCTCGAACTCATAATGATCCTCCCGCCTCAGCCTCCCAAGTGCTGGGATTATAGGTATGAGCCACCCAGCTCGGCTAGAAAAAGGATTTTGTGTTTTGGAAGTTGTTACTGATATTTCAGCTTGAAATTATTCTTCCTGAAAAATTAAGTCTAGTGAATAAGGCTTAATTTAAAAAATGGAAGTATTTTGTAAAAATCAATACAACAAAATTTTGTTTGAAATGTTTTTCTGATAAGTCTTTCTACATGTTTGTTTTTGAATCCTTTAAAATGGCTTATAACTTCAGAAATGTCATATCATCATTTGGAGAGTTTCTTCAAAATGCTGTAATAGAATGAACTAAGGTTAATCTCCTCAGTGTTCCTAACAATCCGGTTCAAATTCTATTTATGAACACTGAATGTTGGTTTTTACCTCAATCTTTCTGGACCACACTTTTAAGGAATAATATAAATAAATAAAGAGCTGCTTGGAATGATCTCCTCCACCAAAGATGACCAAGCCCTAAACCTGAAAATGTTCACACAGGAAAAAAGATTTTGTTAAATCAGTGACCTTGAAGTAGGAAGATGACCGGCAAGCTCAGTGGCATCACAAAGATCCTGACGAGAAGGCAGCCAGAGTGTCAGAGTGAGAGGACTCTCACACTGGCCTCCATGGTAACAGGAGGGGCCCATGAGCGCAGGCCAACTGGAGAAGACAGAATGGATTCTGTGTACGGGTACCATGGGGCACACAGTTCTATTTGTCACTTTGGATTCAGTGCAGTGAAACTCACTTTAAAGTTTGAACTTCAAGAAATGCAAGACAGTCACTCCCAGGAAGATGATGGAGCCGTAAACAGCAGCAAGTCAGCCTCTCTAAGGTTTGGAATCCAGGCACTAGAATACAACTTGGGAAGAAAAGGAGGGAAGTGGATTTATGGGACCCAGGAAAGACCTAAAGGGCGAATGGAGCCAACAGGAAAAGTGAAGACAGGCCTCAATGTGGAAAAAGGAGGGGCGAGCTGAACTTTCTCTCTGACTCCCAGCTCCAGAGAGAAGGCTCAAATCTAGACGCATGAGGGCAGGTGACACAGAGAAAGGCGCTGTAGAAAAAAACCGTGGATGCCATGCACCGCATCAGCTGGTGGCTGACTCTGGTTCAAGCATCTCCTGGAGAGGGTGCGTGAGCAGACATCATTTTAGGGAGGGGCCAACTGAACCCGGGACTCAGAGCAGGACTCAGTGCTCCCAGTGACTGGAGGAGGCACAACCACGGGAGATGTCAGGGTTGGGGAGCTGGGCTTGGGCTGGCAAGAGACACCCACGGTACATAGACTGAACCATTCAGGCCCCAACCCCACAATCAGCAGCCAGGATCAGCCTAAACCTTGATGGAGTTTGAAAGCAACATAATCAGAAACCACAGGCTGGTTGGGATTACACAGCCTCCTGCCCGAGACCTCCTGCAGGTTTCCTGGGAGCACCCAGCAGGGTGTGGGCTCTGTCTGCCTCCTTTCTCTACCAGTGACAACCCCACACAACCTGCAATGGGTAGCCCCCCAAGGCCACAGGCCCAGAAATCAGCCACAGGCAGTCTTTTTTTACTTTTTTTTCTTTTTATTTTCTTTTTTCTTGATAGTTTTTTTTTCCATGAGTATGAACATTATTTTTAGTTTTTCTGTTTTGTTTAGTACTTCTTTTTCTTTTTCCATCTTTCTTTCCCTTCTGTCTTCATCAGGTTCCTAAAGCTTGTGTTCTCTTCCACTGTCCTTCAGCCTTCCAATTTTTCTTTTCTTTTCTTTTTTCTTCTTAGCCTTTTAAAATTTTCTCCTCAGAGTAAAAGTTTACTGAGGAAAATTTATGGTATATAATTTTCTGATTTGTTTTAGATTTCATTATGAAACTATAAATCTTGTATTATGGTTAAAAGTGGCAAATTAACAGTTTCCATTTGTTATTTGTAGACTGTGCTTGATGCTACTGTTGCTAGAAACTGGACTACTTTAGCCAAGTAGACACAATCGTGAGAAGTTGTTCTTCCTTGTATGCCAACACAAGGTTGTCCGAGTTCATAAACAATACCACAGTACAGAACCAAAGAACCGGGCACTGGGTCAAACAGGCATCAACTTCTCAACCCTAATGAATCAAAGAGGCAAGATCTTGGGACAGACTCAAAAGTCAAAAGCCAGCTACCCCTAGAAAACAACTCTGAAAACTAGTCATTTCCCAAGGAATTCTCAAAAAAAGTAATAAAACTACTTACCACGAGCAATTTATAAGCATCAAGGCAGAAAACAAATAGAAAATGAGAAGACATAGAAGCAAAATGCAACACGAGAACTCCGGCTCGCCTAAGGCAAACCCGGGGGCACTGACGTGGAAGAAAGAGTCATCAGCTGAATTTCCAGAAACAGTAGTGGCAGAAGCAACAAACCAGATGAATGAGGCTCTAGAAAACAATACACAAATAATTTCTCAGAAAGCAAAAGAAATGACAACCATGATGAAGGACATGGTTAGTGAATGTAGAATAGACATAGACTTTAAAAAACAAATGGACAGGCTTAGGAAAGTGATGGAAACCATGAAGGCCCAATATAGGAAAGAACCAGATACCCTGAAACAGAGTCAAACAGATAAATATCCAGAAGATAAAACATGCTATTGAAGCTGGGCATTGTGGTGCATACCTGTAATCCCAGCACTTAGGAGGCTGAGGCAGGAGGATCACCATGAGGTTGAGGCCAGCTTGGACTACTTAAACAAGTTTGAGGTCACACTGAACCACATAGTGAGACCCTATTTTGAAAAAAACGAATATTATATTCAAAGTATATGCATTAGAATAAACCAATGTGAGGGCAGAACATCAAACCTAAAAAAACAGGATTATAGTTAGTGATCATTAAATGAAAGACTTTTTAAAAATAGCAAGGGTGGGGCTGGGAATTTAGCTCAGTGGCATAAGCACCTGCCTTGCACGCGTGTGATCATGAGTTCAATCCCTGGTACCGGTAAAAATACAAAAAAATACACACACACACAAAAAAATAAAAATAGGCAAGGGACTATGAAAAATCAGTACAACAGCTGCTAGACAATACAAGGAAGAATAACATAAGATTGATCAGAATCAATAAAAAAATCAGGAGATAACACAAAGGACATTAAAAACTTAATTCCCAGAAGTAATGGCAGGAAACTCTCCAAGCATAGGAAAAGAATTTGACATAAAGATAAGTGAGGTATACAGATTTCCAATTAGCCAGGATCATTAAAAAACTACACCAATACATATAATAGTCAAGATTTAGAAATTCAACACAAGAGTATAACATGTAAAACCATTACAGAAAAGAAACAAATCAACTATAGAAGAAAGACCATCAGAATCACAGCAGACTTCTCAACACAAACCCTTAAGTGAAGGACAGCTTCAAGTGTAGTATTTCAAGCTCTAACGGAACCTCCAACCCAGATTGATGTACCTCACAAAATTATCTTTTAAAATTGATGAAGAAATAAGATACTTCCATGATAAAGAACATCTGAAGAATGGCCACCAAATCAGTACTACAAAATGTTCTGAAGGACAGTCTAGAGATAAGGAGGACTTCAACTCCATGATCCTCAACAGAATAAATCTACCAGGCAAGGCATGCAATCAAACAAAGTGAGAAAAACAGGGAAACCAACAACAGGAAAATAACACTATATGAATATGTGAATTTATTTGTATAGCATATATATATATATATATATATATATATGCACACACTTATAATCAACAACATAAATGGTCTCAATTCATCAATCAAAAAAAACAGGCTGGCACAATGGATCAAGAAGTATGATCCAACAATATGCTGCATTCAAAAAGAAATTCAGAAACTGAAAATCAAAAGATGGAAAACAATATGTTATACAACAAAAGCCCAGAAAAAAGCAGGAGTAGCTCTTCTATTTGTGTACAAAGTGGATTTCTAGCCAACGTTGATCACAAGAGACAAGGTCACTTGTTAACAAGTACAAATAAGGTACTTGTTAAGGGGACAATCCAAGAAGAAGAGATAACAATCATAAATATATATGCACCAAATACTACAGCACCCTCCTATACAAAACAAACATTAATGTCATGAAAAAATCAAATGGACACCAGCACAATTGTAATGGGAGACCTTGATACCTTACTGTCACAAATAGATAAATATGACAAAAAAAAGTCAGCAAAGAAATAACAGAACTGAACCAAATCTTTGAACAGGCAGATGCAGTAGATATCCATAGAATGTTCGACCTCACAACAGAATACACATTCTTCTCAACTGCACATGGCACTTTCTCCAAAAGAGACCACATACGAATTCATAGAATACACTTAAGTAAACAAAAAGGAATTGAAATTATCAGATCATAGTGCAATGAAATTGGAAAACAATGGCAAAAGAAACCACAAGATCTTCATAAACACATGTAAATTAAATAATACCCTCTTCAACAACCAGTAGGTCACAGATGAAATTAAAGAAGAAATTACACAGTTTCTACAGTGAAACATACTGGAACTTACGGGATACAATGAAAGCAATTCTACAAGAGAAATTTAGAGCAGTGAATCCCCACATTAGGAAAGCAGAGTTAGCTTAAATAAACAACCTAATGTTGAAGTTGAAGCTTCTAGAAAAAGAAGTTAAACCCAAAACACATATGAAGGAGGAAATTATAAAGGTCAGAGCAGCTACCTATGATTAAAAAA